CTGTGGCTAAGAAGATGAGAGTTGCTTCCAGGGCAGACATAAAACACTTTTCGATCATTTATGCAACACTTCAGCTGGGAATTTGAAACCCTTAGCTCACCCTTTTCTTTCTCCACTTTGTCCAGCCCAATTAGGAAGAGTCAGCCAATCTCATTATAATACCTATTTGATTAAAATGTTCTAAGCTATCAGATCTATGGTCACCCAGAGCCTTGCATTTTATAAGGTATTTCATAGAGGCATCTAAACATGGTATTTCGTGCATCTCCACTGGCACATCAGGCCATGGACCATCAGCACCGTCTTTACCACTGGAAACACAGTCATTAGTGCCTTTCAATCTAATCAGATTAGAAAACAAATTCTAGAAAACACACAGCCAATTCAGAAAACTCACACTTAAGATTCCGTCCCTCTGGTACCAAAATCCGTATCAGTCAGGGTTCAACCAGAGAAACAGAGCAAGTAGGAGACATATATGGAGAAATTTATGGAAGGAACTACCTTACATGATTGTAGAAGTTAGCTAGGCAAGTCCAAAATCCATAACATGGGTCACCAGGAAGGGCAGGTGCTAATTCCCAAGCTGCAACTGCAGTGCACAGAGGCAGAATTTCTTCCAGGAAACCTTAGTTCTGCTCCCAAGGCCTTTCAGCTGATTGGATCAGGCCCACACAAATCATCAAGGATAATCTAGATGTAGATGTTAATCACCTCTACAAAATATCTTCACAGCACCTACAACGCTGTTTGACTGAATAACTGGAGACTATAACCTAACAAAGTTGACACATAAAACCAACCATTACACCTATAAAATCAGAATTTCTGAGGGTGGGGCCAAGCAATGTGTTTCCAAAGCCCTCCATTGATTCCGATGCTCCTTCAAGTTTGAGAACCACTGGTTTAGAAACCAATCTACCTACCTTCTTTCCAAATGTTAATGAAAAATATAAAAAGAAAAAAAGAAACCAAACCAACCAGGAGGAACAGATGTTGGGAGTCAACCACAATGTTTCATTACCATTAGCCAGCCAACATCTGTTGCTTGCAATGAAAGAATCTTAGGAGATTCACCATATGTATGAAGTTTTTAATAGCAAACAACAAAAAATGACTCTATTAAAGTAGGCAGAAAGGGAAATTGTTAACGTATGTGTCAAATAGCTCAGAGTCGATGGGAAGGCTAGAGAGGCAGGCTTGGGAAGAGGCGGGTTTTCACCATCAGCATCCAGGCAGCACAACCCAGCCAAGATATGCCACAGCAAGTGTCCAGTGAGAACATCTCCCCATGAACTACCACCAGGCACTCGCCAAAGCCTCTGTTAAGTCTTTGACTACTCCGTCACTGCTGAGAATAATTTCTAATTGCCCTGAGCTCTTAGAACCACTCCCCTCAAAGACCTGAAGGAGGCATCTGATTGACAGAATTTAGTCACATGACCATGCACTAGCTGCAAAGGGAAGAGTACTCCATGCCCCTAAAGAGCAGAGTAGCAAGAAAGACCTGTGTTTAAAAGATAATTATGACACAAAAAGTTAAGATGTGTTATAGAAGAACATTGGAAGGCCAGGTTCGGTGGCTCATGCCTATAATCCCAGCACTTTGGGAGGCCAAGGCAGGCGGATCACTTGAGGTCAGGAGTTCAAGACCAGCTTAGCCAACATGGCAAAACCTTGTCTTTACTAAAAAAAACACTACAAAAATTCAGGGTAGGCACGGTGACTCACACCTGTAATCCCAATACTTTGGGAGGCTGAGGCAGGCAGATCACATGAGGTCAGGAGTTCGAGACCAGCCTGGCCAACACGGTGAAACCCCGTCTCTACTAAAACTACAAAAAAAAAAAAAATTAGCCAGGCATGGTGGCAGGCGCCTGTAATCCCAGCTACTTGGGAGGTTGAGGCAGGAGAATCGCTTGAACCCAGTGAGCCGAGATCACGCCATTGCACTCCAGCCTGGGCAACAAGAGTGAAATACCATCTCAAAAAAAATATATCCATATGTATATATGTATAGATACACACACACACGTATATACATGTGTATGTATGTATGTGTATATATACATGTACACATATAGATATACATACATATCTATATATACACACATATATTTATATACACACACACACACAAATTAGCTGGACATGGTGGTGTGCATCTGTACTCCCAGCTACTCAGGAGGCAGAAACAAGAGAACTGCTTGAACCCAGGAGGCAGAGGTTGCAGCGAGCCAAGACTGCACCACTGCATTCAAGCCTGGGAAACAGAGCGAGACCCTGTCTCAAAAAAAAAAGAAAAAAAAAGAACATTAGAAAAACTTAAACCAGTCTTAAGGAGGTACAAGGTCAGAATGGAAAAGATCAAGCAGCTTCAGACAGAAACCTGCTTGAATCTATAGAAACACCCCTAACTGGTTAAAATACCAGAAACCTCATCTTAACATTCAAAGGTTCTAGTGAACTCTCATGTGTATAAAACTTCAAAGCTTGTCTTCAGTTCCCTTTCACTCCTCTTTGTCCTTTCTTTGCCCTCCTAACAGGGCACACCAATCTTCCACTGAAGTGCCCCAGTCTCCCTTGGCAGTGACCCTTATCTTGGTCCCTAAGGAGACTTAGCTGTACTATCTTATTACTCTGAGTTTTACATTTGGGGAGGCGACATATGTGAACCTTTTCCATAAACAACAAAAGGCTGGGAGTAATGGTTCATGCCTGTAATCCCAGCACTTGGGGAGGCCAAGATGGGAGGACTGCTTGAGGCCGGGAGTTTGCGACTAGACTGAGCAACATAGTGAAACACTATCTCTACCAAAAAAAATAAAATAAAATAAAATAAAATAAATAACAAGGAAGTGCAAATACACAACAGATAAAAGAGGAACACTCAGGTGGGGTTTGAAACCCATACTCTGCCTCTTTTCCTCCCTTCCTTCCAGGGACCCTCTGAAAGAACCTC